CCCCCCCCCCCCAGTTTAACCAATGGGACTGGGAGGCTCGGCAAGGTCAATGCGGGGGTCAAGGTCAAGGTTGACCTGCCTCCGGGGACCAGCCCTACAGCGTCCGTGATTCTGCCTTTCCAGGGGCCTTCAGGGGTACAAGGAAGGCAGAGGCCCTCAGATGCTTCTGGCTGGAGCCTGGGCCTCGCTCCCCAGTGGGGACACCTGGGCCCCGGGCACTTGTAGGGGCTGAGCTTGTTCATGGTGCCGAGGGCCACAGGCCCGGGGAGGCGATATCAGCAGGCAATATCCTGCTGGGCAGGAGGCACAGATGTGGACAGTGGGTCCGGGGGCTGTCTCCGGGGAGGGAGGCAGGGGCTCCAGAGGCTGGTGAGGGACACGGCGAGAGACTTCTCGGGGGAGAGTCTGGGCCAGAGGAGAGATGGGGCACGGGTGGAGACGGCGGTGGGGTGTGGGCCTGCCCGGGGCCAGGCGCTGGGGCTGCGGGGTCAGCGTGGTTGTGTTAGGTGGCCGGGCGGCTGTGGGGTCAGTGAGCACTTAGACCTGTGGGGGCCAGGCAGCTGCAGGGTCATCGTGGACACTTGGTGGACCAGGTGCTGGGGCTGCGGGGTCAGTGTGGACCCGTGGGGGCCGGGCAGCTGTGGGGTCAGCGGGCACGTGGCTGTGTGGGAGCCCAGGCAGAGCAGCGCCCCTGCACGCTAAGCCTGCTTGTGCGTCCACCCTCCCTGGAGGTCCTCAGACCCCCTCTGGGTTGAAGGAGCAACCAGGACATTCCGGGGACCGCAGAGCCTTTGTCGGCCCCCCTCCTGCCCTCCAGCCAGCACAGCCTAAACATAACCGTGGGGCTTTACTTCTCCGGGATCCCCAACGGTCTCGTAGAGGTACCCGACACGGAGACGGGGTAGCAGCTCCTTGGCGCCTGAGCCCCAGAGTCTGTGGGCACAGGCTGGAGTGTGGGCAAGGGCACAGCCGCCCTCAGGGTCTCGGGCCCAAGTTCGCGCACCGCAGGCTTGCAGAACAGGAGGGAACGATGCTGAAAGCAACGCGGTCAGCGCAGCCAGGCAGGCTGTTGGGGCGGAGTCTCCTGCCGATGGGCGGGGCCCCGGGGGCGGGGCTGCGCGGACTCTCCGCCTGCCCTGTTCTGAGCCGGCCAGGCACCTGCTACAGCCGGTCCACTCAGTAGGGCTCGGCCCGTTCAGAGCAGAGGGGATTCATCTCTGATAATCATCCCAGCCCTGGAAGCCACAAAAGTTCTTGATGTTTCTTGACGTTTGTCGACAACTAAAATTTCCTCGAGGACTTACTTGTACGAGTACAATGGAGTATGTACAGTTAGCCGTCTGCCTCCTGGTTTTGGTTAAGCAGTTTAAGAATGCAAGCCTGTGTTTAAACAATTTTTTTAATGTTTATTTTGAGAGGGGGAGAGAGAGACAGAGAGACAGAGAGACAGAGACAGAGCACGAGCAAGGGAGGGACAGAGAGAGAGGGAGAAACAGAATCCCAAGCAGGCTCCAGGCTCTGAGCTGTCAGCACAGAGCCCGATGCAGGGCCCAAACTCGTGAACCATGGGATCATGACCTGAGCTGAAGTTGTATGCTTAACTGAGCCCCCCGGGCACCCCAGGAAGTTTAAACTTTATTGGGCTTCTGGGTTTTTGGAAGAAGTTGAATTTAAGGCCTCCCTGTTAAGTTTGATGCACTGTATACAGATCATACAGAGAGGGCCCTGAAGAGACATGAATTGATCTACACCCCAGAAGATTCGGCAGCGTCCAGAATCATCTTCATAAACACTTCTAAAGTTCTTGTAGAGACAGCAGGGGGCTGTCCAGGTTGTCTGTGGCTCTTTTCAAAGCGATTTTGTTAAGTTTATTTATTTTATGTATTTATCATTTTTTTAATGTTTCTTTCTGAGAGAGAGAGACAGAGTATGAGCAGGCAAGGGGTAGGGAGAGAGGGAGACACAGGATCTGAAGCAGGCTCCAGGCTCTGAGCTGTCAGCCCAGAGCCTGACCCGGGGCTTGACCTCATGGACCTTGAGATCATGAGCTGAGCTGAAGTCAAATGCTTCACTGACTCAGCACTCAGGCGCCCTTATTTATTTATTTTGAGACACAGAGAGAGTGTAGGGGAGGGACACAGAGGGAGAGAATCCCAAGCAGACTCCACACTATCAGTGCAGAACCCGGTGCAGGGCTCCAACCCGGGAACTGTGAGATCATGACTTGACTGAGCCACCCAGGTGCCCCACAAAGTAATTTTCAAAGGCACCTTACGTATGCCATTGGGAGCAGACACTCTGGACTGGGCGCCTGGAGCACAGTCCGTCAGAGACTTGATGTTGCGTCCACTACGACACTTCACGTACTGAAAGAGTTTCTGCTTCTTAGCTGGAAAAAGCCACAGGGCCCACAGGCATCATGTAGATAAATTCTCCACAATACAGAGATAGAGATACGAGCACACCCAGAGACGGGTATTAACGAAAAGTGTTTCAATGCTTCCATTTTGGATACTTCAGTGAAGAACTGAGGCAGGTTTGTTCTCAGAAGCAGAAGCAGGGGCGCCTGGGTGGCTCAGTCGGTTAAGCGTCCGACTTCGGCTCAGGTCACGATCTCGCGATCCTTGGGTTCGAGCCCCGTGTTGGGGTCTGTGCTGACAGCTCAGAGCCTGGAGCCTGTCTCAGATTCTGTGTCTCCCTCTCTCTGACCCTCCCCCGTTCATGCTCTGTCTCTCTCTGTCTCAAAAATAAATAAACGTTTTAAAAAAAGAGAGAGACAAGCAGAAGCATCACTAGTCTCTACTAAGGAAGGTGAACTCCAAGAATCAGGGTGGTTTTCAAGAACTCTAATTTCACCATTTGTATAAAAACCCAGAGAGACCAGTCATTTCCAGTAGCTTCCAACATAAGCTGCAGTCAGCTTACCGGTGTCTGCCCTGCTGTGTTTCAAACGTGAAATTACACATGCTGTAGTTTCTTATAAAGCAGCAGGTAAGAAGTCGATGTAGGGGCTGGAGAAGCAAAAGAACATTCAAAACGTCTTCCCTGCGGTGACCTTCAGCCCAGGATCATCTGAAAACAGCCACTTCCCCGGTTGGCCGCTGGATTCCGTGTCTCCGTCGGATTCATGGGTGCCATTAGTGCTGCTAGGCTCTGAATTTCTATTTTCGGCCCACGCTGCCCTGGAAGCCTTACTGTGGCCCGATGCCCTGTTGTGCGGCTCACAGGGGCTCTGCCCCACTGCCCACGTGGAGTGGATGTGTGCTCCCGTGGACGCTCATCAGCACGTCCTCATCAGCATAACTTTAAGCCCCACCCCTTGCTCCCCCCACGTGGATGGTCCGGCTTGTCTGTTTCACACAGATGCCCCTGTCTCTTGGCTACTTCTAAACGGCTAAGGCCGGTGACTTTAGCGGAAGCCGGACGGCACCTGCCCCTCCGCATCAACCACGAACAATCCGCAGCCGTCCTTGGCTGGCACCGGGCCCTGTGCTGGTGACGACGTAGGTGTCCGTGCGGGGTTGCCGATCTTGGAGAGCCCACCACCGTGCTGATCAAACTCCAAGCCACGAGCCAGCAAAGCGCTGGGGACAAATGTAACTTGGGGCGTCCTGCCAAAGGAAGACTTGGTTCGGCTTCAGTACAACGGTGGTGGTTTTCCCAGAAAGATCTGCCCGACTCAGATGCTCCGGCTCTGTTTTGGGCGCTGGAGAAATCCTGGAACTCTCGTGCGCCAGGGAAGGTGCATCTCCGTGCACTGGCGCGCTGCCGTCTGGAGGGTCTGTCCTGCCAAACTTCAAACGACAAGCCACTAGTCTTCCCGCTTTGTCCTCGGGCTTCCCTTCCCAGGCACAAACCCCGTCAGCGTTCTTCCTGGGGGCTCGGGTGGAGAGTGTGCTCACACTTCCGGAGTCCCCGACACGATGATGTTCACTCTCTGGAGCTGGTCCTCTGGCCCCTGGGCTCCCGGTCGTCCCCCCACCCCCACCCCCACGTGATGGCCCCCGGAGAGGATGCTGGTGGTCTCGTGCAGACTTTAACCAATTGATTTTAGCTCCATTTCTTCAGGGAGCACATCGTGCCCTCATTTTCAGAAACGTGCTTGGGGGTTATTTGGGGGAGGAATCCGATCTATTATTTGGGGTGTCGGCTGACCCGGCTTGTCTCTGGTTCTCTTCCAATGAGGAACATGGGCATAGGACGCAGGCTAAACCAGGGGTCGGGACATCACACTCTCTTTGGCATTCGATGTTAGGAAGAGATTGTTGGGTTTTCTTGTTTTGGGGACAAGCGTTAGAGAGGAACCACCCCTCCCCCAGCACTCCCGAGCCACCAGTCTGCAGTCGTGTTGGGGGGCCTGCTGGGGTCCAGGAGCGCACTGACACCCTGTTTGTGTCCAGAACGTGACGAATACGGTGGTGAGGACCACCCTGAGGAACGACCTGTCCCCTGAGGGCATCATCCACCATCTGAAGATCCTGAGCCCCATCCACTGTGCCTTCCAGAACGACCTCCTGACATCGTCAGGCTACACCCCAGAATGGGGGTGAGTGGAGAGGTCTCTCCCCACCCTCTCCAGCTCGCTGTCCACTCTAGCACCTTTACTTTGGGTTTCTTTAGGACTTTTTTAAAATGTTTATTTATTTTTGAGAGACAGAGACAGAGTGTGAGCAGGGAAGGGTCAGAGAGAGAGAGGGAGACACAGCATCCAAAGCAGGCTCCAGGCTCTGAGCTGTCAGCACAGAGCCCAACACGGGGCTCGAACTCATGGACTGTGAGGTCATGACCTGAGCCGAAGTCGGACACCCAACCGACTGAGCCATCCAGGTGCCCCAGCTTTGGGTTCCTTTAGGATTTTAGTCACTTGGGGATCCTTTTGTGAGACTGAATATAGAAACGGACAGTGGCCAGGACTTGGTTCGTAACCCCCAGCGCCCCTAATACTTGTCCTCACTTCCAACTTAAGACCAACCAAAGAAAGCCAGATATGCACCCTCGCCATAGGACACTCTAGTCCTGGTGAGCCCACCCACGGCTTCCCCATGACACGCCTGGGGCGCCTGAGGCCTCCCTTTCCCTCTCTGAGGATGCCCCTCCCCTGTCTGTCCTTGAGTCTCCTCCAAACTCAAGTTGGGGGGCGACACACGGCTCCAGCCAGCTCAGAATCGGTAGCCTTGCCTGTTCTCATCTGGGCGGTCTTCCTTTATTTCCATACTTCTTTGGAGTTGCCTTTTGGGGAGCAATGGGAACGGTGGGGTCACAGGAGCGCACCTCCTGAAACCACTCACTCTCGCAGGGTCTATACCATCATCGAGGACCTCCATGGTGCTGGCAGTTTTGTCACCGAGATGCGGTTGTTTATTGGGGACTCCCCTATACCTCGAAATTACAGTGTGTCTGCCAGTGATGATGTCAAGATCGAGGTGGGGCTCTATAAACAGAAGAGCAACCTCAAGGTGGTCCTGACCGAGTGCTGGGCGACACCATCCAGCAACGCCAGGGACCCGGTCATGTTTGGCTTCATCAACAACAGGCAGGTGTCGGGTGTGGGCCGCCTCCCAGACACGCACGGATATGGGGGCCGCGTCCCTGGGGGGCCGGAGGGTGGCGGTCCTCGCCTCCTATGGGTGATGGCAGACACGGTGTGTGCAGTCAGAGGCTCTGCCGGGAAGCCCATCTGGGACGGGGATGGGAGGCCGGCTCCTCACTAATGAGCCACGTTCCTTCCTTCCCAGCTGCCCCATCCCCAACACACACACGAACGTGATCAAGAACGGGGACTCCAGCAAGGCCCAGTTTAAGCTGAAAATCTTCTCCTTCATCAACAACTCCATCGTCTACCTGCACTGCAGGCTTCGTATTTGCATGGACTCCCCTGGAAGCACGTGCAAAATAGTAGGTGTTTTACTTCTCTAACCTTGTGTCTGACTTGTGCCCCTGATCACCCTGAGGAGGGCCACTCTGTTATCTGAAGCCCAGGCTTTGGGCGGCTCTGGGGCCCAACCTCTGGGAGCAGACTCTGCATAAGGTGTGAAATGAGGTGTGGATGGCAGTCAGCCCATGGGCAGAGGACTCTGCAGCTAGCTGGCTAAGCTACATCCTTCCAGATGTCGTACCACATGTTGGCCATCCCATCCCATTCCCATTCCTATCCCATTTCCATTCCTATCCCATTCCATCCCATCCCATCCCCATTCCATCCTGTCCCATCCCATCCCTATTCCATCCCATCCCATCCCATCCCATCCCATCCATTCCTGGCCATGATGCAGTGGTGCTTCTCCTCCAGGTGCTTTAATGCATATTCAGGTGTAAAAACTTTGCTTTAACTCAGTATTATTTTTAGTAACATTGAGGGAACACTACTGAATCCCAGCCACTGTGATATTTAACAAGAGGGTTTTTTTTTTTATTTTCATGTGCATGAATTTGGGATAATGAGTAATTTTACATTCCCATTTCCGTAGACCTTTGAATGTGAAATATGCTTTGCAGTCCTGAGTTTTGAGAGCCCTTGTTCACACCACAGACAAGGATGTGAGCTCACTGTCACAAGCGGTCTGCTCCCAGGACAGTATAGAGAACTCTGCTGGCCTTGGGTTCAGGGGCTGTGTGTTTGCCTCATCTCTGGGCGATGGGCTTGTTTCTGTGCTGCGCACAGAACCCCTACAGTCCCCCTCCCCGCCCCCAGGTCACCAGCCTCCGAGGATCCACGGGACACGCATAGGAGAAGAAACCCAAGGAACATCAATTTTGTTGATGTCACTTTTTCACACACAGTAGATCTTCCAGAAAAAAGGGTTGAAAGGGACACAGACCCCCGGATGACTGCCAGCTAGGGGTGTGCATGACCCTGCACCAGGCTCCAAGAGCCCCTCAGACATACTAAGAGTATTAATAGCCACAACCACCTCTGTAAGGAGGGGCCGGTTCTCAGATTCTTGATAATATGGCTTCATGCCTTCCTTTCCCAGCTTTCCTAGGAGAGGCATTGACTGCTTTTCTGTGGCTGCAGCTGCAGCTGAGACATCAGGAGTGCATTCTCTCACAGCCTGGAGGCGGGGAGTCCAAGATCAGCCTTGGGGCAGGGCTGGCTCCCCCTCAGGCCGCGAGGGAGAGTCATTCCAGGCTCTTCCCTTGGGATGCAGACCCGGCTTCTCCCTGTGTGTTCATATCTTCCCTCTGTGCATGTCTGTGTCTGTGTCCAACATCCCCTTTTCCCAAGGACACAGTCATGTTGGACTAGGTACCCACCCTAATGACCTCACCTTCTCCTCATCTGCAAAGACCCTATTTCCAAATAAGGTCACATGCACAGGTACCAGGGGCTAGGGGGTCAACATCTTTTAGAGGGCAGAATGCAGCCCATAGCAGGTGTATTCTAAGAAGGTTCCACCGTGTCCCTGAACCTTCGTGCAAGGCAGAGGCATTGAAAGGAGCAGGCGGCTGCAGCTGGCCATGGCCATGGAGAATGCCAAAATGACTCAGCGCCGACAGAGGGCCTGAGGGGCCGAGGGGCCAGGGCTTGGAGGCGCAGCGGGCTGCTCTCTTGAACCTCGATTCCTCCTGTGATCCAGGCGGTCCAGGCCCCCAGGTCCCTCCCCTGTCTGAGCTCACCCACCCTCGACTTGCTGTCTCCAGCCAGATAGAATGTACAGATCAGGGTATCACCCCGACGGTCAGGACTTGTCTCCGAACTCAGTAGTTCTGCTCGACTAACTCAAAGTTTCTTTTCTTTCAAAACAACAGAATTGCAATGACGTCAAGTCCCCGAGAAGCAGCGAGGCATCCACCATACACCAGACATCCTGGGGACCCCTCGTCCGGTCTGAAGGTTAGTTGGTGACTTGGTTTAGACAGTCCTGAGTCCCATCTCACCAGCGTGGGAGCCACAACTCTGCCCCCCCCCGCCCCCCCGGGAGCCAGAGCACCTGGGTTCCGCAGCAGACTCGGGATCAGGGGACATAACAGCTGCTGGCCGCTGAGAGCGACTTCCCCGGGTTGCATTGAGTCCATCACCTACAGAGTGTGGCCGGGAGGGAGGGGCCATTGTCATACCCACATTGCAGAAGAAAAGGCTGGGGCTTCAGGATGTCAGCACACCCTTAGATAAAGCAGGATTTTGAGTCATATGTTTATGTTGGATAAACACACCGAATGGGTTGTTGGGCCACAGGGACTCAGGTGATGCCTAAGCTGTTTATTCTGGGCTTGGCTAACTCGGAAGATGCAAAAATTAAAAAATGACATCGCTTTCTCTCTTGGTATAAAACTTCCACAAGCCAATTACATTCCATTTTCATTTCAAAGGCTGCCATCATTTTTCCAGGAAGACATTTTATTTCCTTTGAGATTGATTTCATTGTTTTTAAAAAAAAAAAAAAATTGGTTGGGGGAAATGGCGTGCTTTGGGTACGAAGACAGAAATGGCTAGCTGTCCCCTAATATCTGTTCGCCCCTTCATCCTAATAGAACCCCACGCCCACCCCCAACCCACCCCATTTTTACCTGGCTGCCGGGAATGAAAACTGTAATTCCCAGTCAACCTGGCTGTTGAGTGTGACCCTATGAGTAAGTTCTGGCCAATGAAATGCAAATGGAGGTCAAGTGCCAGCTCCCCAGGGGCTCAGGCCATTGTTTTCCCCTTTCTTCATCATCCCCCTTCTCAGACCCCAAGGGAGGGCCATGGGGACAGGAGCCGGAAGGAGCCCCATTTCCAAGGACACCTTACAACAAGGCAGCCAGGTCAGGCCAGACCTCCGACCTCCAAGTTTTGTGCCAGAAAGACATAAACTTCCATGCTCTTTGTCACTGCTATTTGGCTTTTTCTCCCGTTTGCAGCTAAATGTAATCCTAGTCGATTTTCCCTTTTTGTTGCTTTTCTTCCCTACTTGGATGGCCCTCCTTGCCTCTCCATATTTTCCTGCACAAGAACTTCTGGGCTTTGGATGCGGGATGTGAGCCGGGGTCCGAATGCTGATCAGGGCTTAGGAAGAAAGATGAGGGAGTAAGACAAGGGCCAGCGATTCTCAACTGTTGGTTCTCATCCAAGTATTTGTGAAATTTAAAAGACCCCAGGTTTGGGGGCACGTCCTAGGGCTACTAACTCGGAGTCTCTGGAGCTGGGCTCCGGGCTCTGGTGTCTGCACTGGTCATCAGGCAGCTGAAGGACCCATCCTGGGACCACATGCTTCTCCTACCCTCCTCATTTCTTAACCTGCTGAGGAGAACTGGTTGACCAGGAGCCCTAATACGAAAGACAATATGTGTGAATTGCATTCTCGTTTACAGAAATGGGATTCCTATTTATTCACGGATATTATAGATAATGTCAAACCTACTGGAGTGGAAAAAGCACTGGGCTTGGAGTTAGGAGACCTGAGTTTGAATGTGGACTCTCATGCTTCTAGTTGTGTGGTCTTGGGAAAATTCCTGAGTCTTCTGGATTGTATCCATCCATCCATTATTCCTCCATACATCCACCCGCCTACCCACCCATCCACCCACC